GAACGTAGCGTCAGTAAGTCGATGACCACGCAAATTTTGCACATAAAGGATACTATAGCTCCTTTCACAATGACGCTCAGCAGCTACTAATATAGCATATTTGTTATAAACACTCCAAGCTAATCCCAAATGTAGGTGTTTCATCTCAAAAGGCGAATCTAAGTTAATATCCTTCCCTTGTAAGCCAACATGCTTACAAAGCGATCACACCCATTCCATAGTATAACGCATACTTGGTGAGATGCGGTAAGTGTACGGTACGAGATCAAGACGTAGTAATGTGTTAGGACGTCGTAGCTGTCCGTTATGCTGCTCACAATGCGCATTCACCGAGAATATGGTACAGTTAATGATCTAGCGTATCTCTATTCCACCAAATACCATCGTAGCATTGACCATTTAACGAGTTCTGTTCTCGACTATGATCACCCCGTTCCCTCCTTTTTTCCCAATTCCATCACCTAAACCGACCCCCGCGTCGGGCTGTTGGCTCTACACTTGATCTATATGGCCCATCGTCTTGTAATGTTAATTATGACTGAACGATTGATGTCCAATGTCGCGAGAGAAAAATCATTTTTGCGGACTAGCGAGTTGTCTTGTGCCTCTCTTGTAAAGAACCTGCCATACTTGCTCGGACACTGCCTCCAAAGTAAAACTTGTTCGTACCTTTGACACAAAGCTGTTGTTTAAGTATACTGTGGCCACACCAGGCAGAAAGGGAAGTTTTGAGTCGTTCACTGCCAGTGCAGTTAGGAACGCGCTTGCATTTTTCGATGGCACGCATTGATGAACCATTTGCGGAGACAGGTCAACGATTCCAATGGTTACCTTAATATTTTTTTACAAAAACAGAGACCTTTTATATTATCACCTTATGCTCCGCTCCATCAGAGGGAATAGCAGCTGGTTTAGCTATTACAAACTCTGTGCTCAAAGCATGCTGTTCTGTCGGTGCCACCTCTGCCATCTAATGAAGATACTGTTAATGAGAAACGCAACATATGACGTACTAATTTACTTTAGGTTCCATAGCAGCCATGTCTAGAGATGCCCCACATTCCTCCTCCTCGTTGCTGGAAGAAGAAGCTGCACTGAAAATCAAATGTCAGCCGTCAACATTTTAGGTCGCCCAAATTTGTAGAAGCTTTGAGCCTTTGTGTGGAACCTTTTACGAAGTATCCTCCTACGTTGCCTAACTCCTCCTCGGCCGAGACCAGTAGCAGGAGGTGGAGCAGGAAGTGGTGGTGGTGGTGGTGGAGGAGGACGATACAAAACTGCTTCAAGAACCGCCAAATCGGGAATATTTCCGCCCAAACATGGCTGAGCCGTAGAAAGTACCTGAAACAGATAATATTGCATGAGCTGAACCGTCTATATTAATTAGTCGCTCTTCTTTTAGAGCCAGAATCAATCCTATTACCAACTTTCGTGGTGCTCAATG